TATTGTGGCTTGCATAGCGCGTGGCCATTTTCACCTCCAAAAAACCATCGATTAGCAGCGATAATCGATGGTTTTATTAGATAATCGAGGCATAGCGCGACACGCGTAAATTATAAATTCTGGTGGGACAGTCTCCAAAAAAGAATATAACTATTACAAAATATACTCTATGTATTTGTATGCTATATTTATGGTTTTACTAAAGATGTCTGGCAGGCCACCCGCTTTTGTCATTTGACACCTTAGCCCACGCCTCAAGCGAGCGCTAACCTGAGCGCTAATCAATGGATAGCGGAGGATAATCCGAAGGTTTGCATTTCTGAAATGGCAAACCTTCGGATTATCCTCCGCTATTCAATGATTAGCGCTCAGGTTAGCGCTCCTGCTTGAGGCGTGGCTGCGGACCGCTAGGAGGAGCGCTGGCCATTGAATAGCAACGGATAACCGCTATCCAGTGGTTTGCGCTCCTGCTCGAGGGATATCCGTGGACTAACAGCAAGGCGCAAACGCTACGCGTAATGTAGCTCGGGGGCAAGACGGAGCTCCTGGTCACGGCACTTCTTCTCCACAGCGCTCACTGCCACTACTCCACGTCTCTTCCTGGTGCTAAGATCCAAGCCGCTTTAGTGCTTAGCGCGGCACGGTGCGCATTATTAGTCAAGACAGTTGCGGTCATGGCTAGTTTCCGTTGGGTTTGCACGTGGGCGCTCGCGTTTAAGCCACGAAAACACGATGTTATTGCATTATCTGGCACTACGCTACATGGCAGCGGTATGAGCCTTCTCCACTGCGGTGTATGGGTAGGCGACGGAGCCGTGGCGCACGCGGCGCTTGAGCTCCTTCTGCGCAGGCGCCATCATCGGCGCGTTTCCGACGCTCACGCCGGACGAACGTGTCCCCGAGCCAAACGTCTTCGTATCTCTTGCGGTTCTTGACCACCTAGCTACTAGCAGCGATCCACCTGTACCTAGAGGATGGTGTCGATGCGGCACACGATGAGCGCATTGCCGGCGTGCATGCTCGCGCTCATCCCACTGCCATCGCTCGTCGATCGTCTGACGCCGGCCGCCCAGCGCTGCGCCAGGCAATGGTCGCTCGAGGCCTTCGACAGCCTTGCGCACGTGTTGCTGCTATCGGTACTGTTGCACGAAGGTGGTCTCGACGAAGCGCCGGGTGTGCGCAGCCGGGTGCTGTACGCCATAGTCGGGTACGGGAGGCGTGCCGCAGAGGGGCCGTGGGCGCCACGGACCAGTCTGCACCTGCAAGGGATCGACCGTCAGCGCGCGCGCGGCGCGGCGGCCTACATCGTGTCGACATGGTTGATGCGCGCCCCTCGAGTCCGAGGACGCACGCCGGCGCACGTTCGAAATGGTTGGCCATGCCGGCTGTTGACCTATTGCCAAACGTCTCGCTACTAAATCGCTACTAAACGATGGTTAGCGAGCTAACCAACGGGTAGCTCAGCCAATCACATGGCCGCATTTCGGTCCCTCTTTTTGGCAAAGCCAGCTTATCACATTTCATAATATATCAAACTTCGACAGGTTTTGCGAGAAAAAAAATATTGGCGGAGCAGCCTCGATTATCACCGACACGCGCTATGCAAAGCACAATATTCGCACGGAACCTGTGGACGCAAGCAGTACACGGCAGACGACAGCTTGGCCTAGTCATCGCTTTATTTGATCTGAAAGCCTGGTAGTGCGTTTGAGATTGAGTTTGAGATGGCGGCTGCATTTCTTGACAGTAGCCGCCGTCGGATACACCCGACGGCGCTGCCTCTCACGGTGGCATTTCCCAGTAAGATCTGCATTCGACAGAATCCCCATGCATTCGACAGAATCCCCATGCTTCCGCACGAGCTTCTCGAACTCATTGCCACCCTTGTGCCGTGCCCAAAGACGTTTTTGGTGCTACTCCACGCACTTCCGTCGCGCCACCTCTCGGCTCCGCTCCAGAGTCTGCTCGCACTGTCCCGGACGCCGCATCACGCCTATATTAGCATTGCATGGCCTCGCCTCGTGCTCAAGCAAAGCCGCCTCCCACTCGAAGCGACGCAGCTCCTCGAGCGCACGTTCTGTTTGTGACCCGAGGTGGTCTGGCGCTGCGGGCTCTGCCATCGGTACAGCCTCGACATGCTGCTGCACCATTTTGCGCCGTACATGCGGCGTCTCACGCTGTGTCCTCACGGCAATGTGTGCGACGATATGCGCTATCTGCAAGACGCGCTGACTGCCTGCTGTCGCCTCGAGGAGCTCGTGCTTGACGTCCGACACGACCCGCGCAGCGTGTGGACGCCACTTGTGGTTCTCGCTTGCCGCATGCCGGGCCTCGCATCGCTCACGCTCAAGCTGCCAAAGCACGCACCATATGCAGCCACGTCGATCTGCGACGCGCTAGTTGCGCTGCTGCACACCCAGCAGTGTACGGCGCTGCACTTGACCAACGTTCGCTTTCAGCACGTGGCCGATCGCGTCGCCGTGCACCGAGCTCTGCTTGCGTGTACCTCGCTACGTGATTTGCACCTGGACAGCACCAACTTGTCGCTTTTGTTTGTGCCGCATTCGGTGACGCGCCTCTCTCTATGGGCCCGCGACGACGCGGCGCGCATCGAGATGGCCGAAGCGATGCAAGCGCTTGCTCGTCTGGAGCAGCTGCAAAAGCTCACACTTTGTCCGCAGTTGACACAGCCGCTCTGGGTGCTCGAGGCTTTTTTGCGGCGGCAGCTTCCGCACCTCGAACGACTGAGCGTCCGTGGCGCGTCTTTTGCTAGTCCAGTCGAGTGTCGCTACGGGTAATTGCGTAATGGAATGAGTCGTCACGTTTAGTCGACTTGTAGTACGTTGAATCGAATACAAGGAGCACGTTCACGTGCACTTCACCGGTAGGCTTGTCGAGGAGGTCAAGCTGGTCATGGGTCAATAATATTGACCCATGAGGGGGTCAAGCCGGTTTGGTGAGAGATCGTTGGGTTTATCCGGACGACGTGGTAGCATCGGTTCATTATCCGGATGCTGGACGGTCGGAGCCATTTCACAATGCTTGCGCCGTGGTTTTGCGAGGAGGGCTGGGCGCCGTCGCCGGTCCCGTACCTCGAAGGTACGCTCGTCTTTGTCGCGGCCGTCTACGCTTTTGAGACGTACTTGGACTACCGGTACGTCCAGTCATCAACAGCTACGACCCTGCTACAGCACCTCGACCTATAGGCAGCATGCCAAGCTGCACGAAACGTCGTTGCCGCCAGCGCTGGCGTCGGCCATTGCGCACATTGATGACGTGTCCAATGAAAAAGAGCCATCGCTGCTGGTGCAAACGCAGGCCAAGTTTGAAAAGAGTCGTCTCTACAGCCTCGATAAGAGCCGCTTTGGCTTTGTCACTGGCGCGATCCATGAACTCGAGGGCGTGCTCTTGCTTCTTGGCGGCTACTTGCCGTTCATGTGGGTGCTCAGCGGTCGTCTTGTCGGTTTCTATGGCGAAATTCCGCAGTCGCTTCTCTTCGCCGTGCTCACGTCATGTAAAGACGTCATCTTCAACCTCCCCTTCGAGCTCTACTCTGTGTTTGTGCTTGAAGAGCGCCATGGCTTCAACAAGCAGACGCTGCGCCTCTTCTGCACCGACAAGCTCCAAGGCCTCGCACTGAGCGCGCTCTTGGGACTCCCACTCTTGGCGGCGCTGCTCGCGCTCATCCAATGGGGCGGCGACGGATTTGTGTTTTACGTCTGGCTGCTCACGTTTAGCTTTACGCTCCTCCTACTCACGATCTACCCCGTGCTCATCATGCCGCTCTTCAATACGTTCACGCCGCTGCCCGATGGTCCGCTGCGCCACCGTATCGAGGCGCTCGCCGCGACACTGCACTTTCCTCTGACGCAGCTCTTTGTGTGTGATGGCTCAAAGCGGTCGAGCCACTCGAACGCGTACATGTACGGCTTCTTCCACAGCAAGCGCATCGTGCTCTTTGATACGCTCCTCACGCAAGCCAATGACAACGAGATCGTGGCGATCCTCGGCCACGAGCTCGGGCACTGGAAGCTCTGGCACACGCTTCAAGGGTTTGCGTTCCAGCAAGTGTATGTCATTGCTCTCTTTTACGTCTTTGGCCGGTGCGCAACGTTGCATTCTTGTGTGTTGGGACGCTAAGATCTACTAGGTGCATGCATGACGTGGCGCTCTTTCGCAGCTTTGGCTTTGGCGCGACGACACCGGCGCTGCCCGTCATGATTGGCCTGACGTTGTTTGCGCAGACGCTGTGGGCGCCGGTCGACAAGGTCCTCTCGTTCCTCCTCACGTACAATACGCGCCAAAACGAGTTTGCTGCCGACGCGTTTGCCGTGCAGCTTGGCCACGCGGACGCGCTGCAGTCGGGCTTGACCAAGATCTCGCTCGAAAACCTCGCCAACATGAACCCGGATCCAATGTACAGCGCGTACCACTACAGCCATCCGCCACTGCTTGAGCGGCTCTGTGCGATTGGCATCACCAAGCACAAGACGCTCTGAGTCGGGCTGCGACGACGCGACGAGGTCTAGTTGTACGGCGTCGGTTGCGTAGACAAAACCCTTCGGACTATAAATAAACGACGCGCAGTCGTTAAAAAACCAGCGTCACTCGTTGGTTTCGCGCCAGAAAGGCAGGTGGAAGCATCGACGAGCAAGATGCAGCCGGCGCCCGAAGAGACGCCGACAATCGTGTCGCCCGCCGACGTGGTCGTGCTCGACAAGAACATCGCGCAGATCGTCGAGGCCCACGACGAGAGCGGTGATGTCGACGTCCCGACGCCGGTGGTCGTGCCCCGGAGTAGCGACACGCTCTCGCTGCGCGCAAGATGGCGGCGCGTCGTATTCGGTGACCGCCCGGGCCACAAGTATGGGATGGTCTACCACTACGCAATCATGGCGTGCATCATTCTCGACGTCATGGTGCTCACGATCGAGACCATGGACGGACCCAACAAGGTCGGCGCCGACCCTGCGTACCCCGGGTTCCCGAAAGCGAGCTTCTTCGCCGCCATCGAGGTGCTCATCACGCTCATTTTGACGGTGGACCTTGCGCTCAAGTGCGTGCTCGCGCCGTCGCCCAAGGTAGACGCTGGCAGCGGATTGTATATTTGCATCGTGATGAACATCTAGCTTTTCTACTCGGGTCGGCTACTGCTCGATGTTCTTTCGCTCGTCTCGCTCTATTTGCTCGTGCTGTACACGGCCAGTAACCCGCTCGAGATTTCGGGAAGGCAAGACAAGACCATCGACGCGATCAAAACGATTCGGTACTTTCGTCTCTTTCGCATCATGCACATGATGAAGGTACTGCTCTCTTGCTCGTTGTGAAGGTTTTGGACAACTGAGTTTGCTTAGGGCTTGGACGGCATGGTCGTGCTCATTCGCACGGCGCGCGCGAGTATTCCGCCACTTCAAGTCACGGTAAGGTCCTTCGTTTCGTGTGAAATGGATCTGATGCCCGACATTTAGCTCTTTTTCCTCATTACCTTTGTCATGATGTTTGCGACGATGCTCTTTTACGCACAGCCGTGCTATAACGCGTCGACGTGCACGTTTACCGACATCTTTAACGCCGGCTACTTTGTCATGGTCACGTACGTCACGTATTGGATAGATGTGACACTATTCTCGTGCATCAACTAGTGTCGCGACCGTTGGGTATGGTGACCAGCTCCCCGACATTGAAAACATCCCGGCCGTCATCATTGCGTGCGTCATCATGATCTTTGGGACGCTGTATCTCGCGATGCCATTGGCTATCATTGGCATTCACTACGAGACTACGTGGATCGACTTTCAGGCGCAGCAGGTCGCAGACGGCGCGATGATCAAACCGGGGCAGCCGAGCGTCGAGGCCGAAGCCGCAACGTTTGAACGCATGGAGACGACGGAGCTGTCTTCGAATCACCACAGCCTCAACGCCAAGTTTCTCGAACTGTGCGACCTCGTCACGCACGTTTCGGAGCACGCAGTGGCCCTCACAACCTCCATCGTACGCCTCCTTGCACGCTTCTATGCGTACTGACAGCATGGCGTAGGAGCCGACAAAACTCGTCTCGGGGCCTGTCGACCGCGACCGCAATGCGAAATTGGTGCAGCTCATCAACGAAGCGACGCACGCGATCAAGCTCCAGCGAGCGCTCGCCAAAGAGGTCAAGCCTTTCGTGCCCAAAGACCTCGTGACGGCCCAAGCGGGCAAGAAGCCTGTGGCGCAGAACGCGCGCACCGCGTCCTTCTCGACATCGATCATGACGCGGGCCAAGCGCGCGATGAGCAACATGCAGTCCAAGGCCAAGGACGACGACGATGCCAATGCGAAGCGGACACTGCGGGAGCGTGCGTTTCAGCTCATGGAGCGGCCGCACTCGTCGATGCAGGCCAACTACGTCAACAAATTCTTCCTCGCGATGGTCATCGGGAGCGTGCTCATGTTCTACGCCGAGACAACGCCCGAGCTCCAAGCACATGGTATTGAGAGCGACCTTTGTCGCGAAGCGTTTGCGTCCTACTGCAAAAACAAAAAGGACGTCGGCTGCTTCGTGCGGTCGACGACAAACGAAACAACGACGCAAAAACTCAACTTTTACTGCGAAGCGGGCTCAACCGCCCCTGATTGCTTTGGTGCTGGCTTCAACTATGGCTCGAACGCGACGCTTGCGCAGTGCTACAACCTCTTTTCGGACCCTGGTCGTATTTGCGAAATTCGCCAATGCAAGCCCGACCACGTGCCCATGTACGACATGACGCGCCGGTGGGTCTACCTCGAGTACTACTTTGGCCTTGTGTTTACGATTGAGATGGCGCTGCGGTTTTACGCGGCGCGGAGCCGCGTAAAGCACCTCCACTCGATTGGGACCTACATTGACGTGGTCGCTGTGCTGCCGTTCTACGTGCAGGTCGGTATTTTGTGTATTTATGTGATTTTCGTGCTTTTCTAGACCACTTGGAACTAGGCGCTGCAAGGGATCGTGCAAGCACGCGTGCCGACGTACGCGATTGTGCCGACCTTTCCACAATTTCTTACCGTCCTTCCCATCGTCAAACCCATTCGCATCTTCAAGCTTGCGCGGGTACATACAACAAGGCGTGTCTCTGTGTCGGATGCTAATCTCGCCTTGTCGCTTGTAGCACTTCAAATCGACGACCGTTCTCTCGCGCACGACCCGAGAAACATGGAAGCGTCTCCTCATCCCGGTACGATACCTGCAGGTAGCGGGGATTGAAGTGGCGTTTTTGTGGCTAGCTCTTCTTTCTCTTCCTTGGGTGCGTCTCGGCGGGGGCCATTTTTTACGAAATCGAGCGCGGCACCACGTGCTACGTGGACATTCCGTGCTTTTGGTGGAACCGCGATTTATGGACAAAAGAGCTTGACGCGAACCTGCCCCCCAAGAAAATGGTCCAAATCCAAGTCACCAAGTATACGATTATTACCGATATGCTGCGCTCGAGCTGGCTGTCGATTGCGACGTACGTTATTGGACAACTTGTCCAATGTCATAGACGGTATGACTAGGTTTACGAGCGTCGGGTACGGTGACATGAAGCCGCGGACGCCGCTCGGCCGCCTCTTTGACATTGCCGCGATGGTCTTTGGGAGTTTCTACACGGCGATGCCGCTCTCGCTTGTCGGGACGCAGTTTTACCTCGCGTACCGTGACTTTCTCGAGAGCCAGAAAAAACAGGTACCGCTATTTCGTATTGCATTTTTGCCGATTTTGTATTGCATTTGAAACGTCGATATTTACCCATTTTTCTAGCGGCAAAATGGGTCCCTCTCGGTCGTGCGTCCGCGCACCGAGCCATCGCTGAGCTTCAAGCGCCGGAAGCGACGACCGCCAAGCGTGATTAGCCAGGACGATGTCCCGGTGTTGAGTCAGTTTATGTCGATGAGTCGCCTCCTCAACGAAATTCTCCAAATGGCATGTCGCCTCAATGCGGCCCAGAAGAAACCCGCGTCGCTCGGTGCGAGCGAACTTCCAGTGCCGCCGCTGCTCGTGTCGATGCTCAAGAGCGTCAAGACGGCGCGCCAAGCTGGCCGTCGTGCGCGGCGAAGTTTGTCGAGCAACGACGCAGAGCCACGCGTTTCGGTCGGCGTGTCACTGGACGTCAAAGTGCTCCACGTCGAGGGTATGTGCAAGAACATGGTCATGTCCACGTCGTTGTGTCAGGTATGTTCATACAAACTTGACTACCTTTGCGTCTGTATATTGCGATATATTGATATTGTCTTGCAGACCATCATGCTACAATTCTCGATCATTGTGCACAAGATTGTCGTGCCCGACAAGACGCTCCAGGCCGCCGACTCGCCCCAGCGCGCGCTCTCGAGCTTTCAAAGTCGGTCCGAGACGTCGCGGCGCGGGTCCGACTCGTTTGGCGAATCGGACAGCACGTATTGAGTTCCTATCTATCTCCCCGACGTAACAAATATACATTCGTGTCTTGCATGCACCACCAAGGTGTCGCGTTGAGTGGATTAGAGCCGCCTGACCTACGTCACCGGTAGTGCCAACGTGATCGCCATCAATTATCGACTGAGGTAGGACAATAACAAGTCTCCGTCACCATATGTAGTGTAATAATTGGTGACGCAGACGCGTACAGATAACGACAACCAAACTGGGCCACAGTGGTACCATGAATAAAAATGAGCCCGCAGAGGCATCCAAGTCAAATGCAAATAAGTACGCATTTCTACCAATCACAGCGCGTCTTTGGTGAATCATGGGAAAAACTATCGCAGTCATCTGATTGGCCAAAATGATCAATAATCAGCACATTTGATTGGTTTCCCGCCTTTTTAAATTGGAGGCTGTCAGTTGCTGACTGCCATGCGCATGCGGTGCATTCACGTTGCTTGTACCGAGGACGACGGTCTTCTGCATGATGTGTGGCGGACTTGCGCACGTAGCGCGCACAATGCCGCACTTCGAATCGTCGCAGCGGACGCGCTGGCCCCCGCCGCGGCGTGTCCAAACGCACAACGCACTGCGGCCTGCAACCCCAGAGCACCCCAGAGTCGGTTTGCATCCATTCTGCAGCCGTATGCTGGCGTCCCTTCTCTTGAGTACCACACCAGGTACCACACTTCTAGTATAGTAAAACATAGCTGAATTGGGAAAGTTCCACCTACGTAACACAGAAACGCTATCCTATTCCCTCCTGTTATCCAACTATTGTTGAAGGAAGCCCATCTTGGCAACCCGCGTCCAGGATATCGACTCTAGGGTACTTCGTGCTTGATAGTCAAATTCTGGCTCGGACTTGTCTAGCCGACCCCATCAAGTACTGCAGCATGCGTGCCTTTGCCAAGGCGCAGAACTTCCCGAAGGAGACATTTCGCAGATGCGTCGAGCGCAACGAGGAGCACTTCAACGTGGACCACCCAGGCAAACGGATGTTTGTCCCAAGCTCTTCCCTAGAATTGGGGCAAACGGATGGGACAAACCATTGATAGGTTCAATTAGACAGCTTTTTGACCAATCAGAGGCTCGGGTTCTTAGTGGTCCCAAAAACCATGTGGTATTTAAATTCTTTTCTTAAACGGGCAGGAGCGGCCCCCCGATACAATTCTCCATATACTTCGATGTACCACTGTGGCCCAGTTTCGTTGTCGTTATCTGTATGAATACATCCTCTGTGGCACGGGGTTCGTGGCGTAGCCTCCGTGTATGACACCGTCTTGATGACAATGACGTCGATGGAAGACAGAAGAGAGATGATCGTAC